AATGACCAAATCTATAAAGCAGCCAAATGATATGGGAATTGAGCAAGAGGATTTTATTTTATTTTTTTTAAACCTGCACGAAGTTGGTAAACATTTCAGTTCGGCACATGGGACCCCCTGTTCTTTTGTATTAATATAAATCAACAATTACGGATGAATTAAAATAGAAGAGCTTCTCACACCTGAAACCTCTAACTCTGAGGAAGGTGAAATACAAAACTTTGTACTAACGGGTGTTTGACAACATAAACCAAAATCATATTAAGCCAAATGGAATAGATTGTTTCCACAGAAGTGCATGCACCAGATTTATGATAGTAAAAAGTGAAAACAGGATCCTCTTTCATCATTCAAATGGTAAGAATGAGCCTGTTTTAGGAACAAATACATGTGAAATATTTTACAGAGAACAAAAAAGCATCAAGATGCATTACAAAAAACCATTAAATGATTACAGAAAGGCAGTAATCTGTATAGTATTTTTTGGAGCCAGCTATTATCTCTTGCTTTCAAATCCTGGCAATATCAATATTCTGCAGTTTGATTGGTGACTGGTCTGAACTTATCCTACTTGCTTTTAGGAACAAAGACAAGAGAATGGCTACCTCTATTCATCTATTATTGTTTAAATAGCTGTCACAGCTTCCAGGATGTCTGTTTCCATGTTATCTAGTGAAAGAATAAAATAGAATGGCAACAAACCAAATACAGTGAAAAATGTTCGTTGTATTTGGCCCAAACCAGCTGCTGTTCACAGATAAAATCTGGTTTGAACAAAACCAGGTGAATTTTAGAAAATGAGGAACAATGGATGGAGTGGATGTAGCATTTACAAATATTTTGAAGATATGTGTCGCATTGAGACTTGCCTATTCTGGTGATTTAGTTTGTATGTCAAGGCACATATTCATCTCTGCTCAGATACTGTAGAGGCTTGGGTAACAGCTTGTCCTATCCTTGTTTAGTTGTTAATTTATAACATCTCAGTTCCCAGCACAAGCCAAGGCAGGCCCGGACACTTCTTTGTTCTGCCTTGTTCTGTCTTTTTTTTTTCCCTTTTCTTTACACTGTTGTGCTGACAACTCCGACAATGGAGTTGTAGATTGACCCTCTTTCCCCTCTTGCCCTGGCTTGTCTTCGAATGCTTCCTTTGATGCGTTCAGACTGAAAATGCCAGATCTCTGTCTCCCAGCAAGGGCTCATCATTTTTGCAGTGTTCCCCTGCTAGTAGGTTAAGAGGAACGTTAGTAGTTCCTTCACAACAGTTTAAAAGATGTTAGGCTAATGATTATTTGGAAACGAAGATATATCATCGTATTGAGAAAAGAGGACTTCTGCAGGAATGGAAGATTTTAAAATGCCTTAATTACAAGAGGTCATATTATTTTCCTACTAAGATATGTGGTTATGTTTTAATTGGCTGTGTTTACAATGTGGTTTTTCTTAAAAATGCATTTTTTCAAGATTCCCTCAATCATCGCTTATCTCACATCCACAAACATCCATGCTTCCTGTGTATAATATGTACATTTGCTCTGTTTCAAACATACTCACACTCAAAGTTTATTTCACATGGGACATCAAGAAAACAAAATCACATTAGTCTGACTTTTTTTTCTGAGTTGACGTTTCATTAAAATAAGTTCACAGTAAGTTCAGCTCTCTAGTCTTACCCTTCAGTGTAAATTTGTTTCTGTTATTTATTATAACATAAGAGTTTGGATGTTATTTTGAGTTCATACCATTCTGCATAACTTTAACCTTTTTTGAGTTACTTTGCCTATTGCAAAACCATGCCACACATTGTTAGGAAAATCTTTGCAAACTTCACAACATGTTTTGAGCATGCACAAAGTACAGCAAACTTAACATATATTTAATTTTAAAGTAGCAATACAGTAAAAAATTTAATCTCTTGCTTACATTCTATGACAAGACCTGTGTTAGGAGCTTTCTGTATCTCAAAAATTGCATGGAAGAGCATAGTTTTTAAGTGGATTAAGGCCTATGGAATTTTTAAGGGGGTCAATTTTATCTAGTATGACTTAAAATATTTTGACAATTTGAGACCTAAAATACTACTAAGATTCTAAGTTGTCTTAGAAAGTATGAGAGGTCATTGGTCCATTTCTCTGACAAACCTAGAGGCAAATGATGTCCCTTTTTTAGTTTACTTTCTCATTTATACGAATCAGCTCCACCATGCATACTAGTGATCAGACTCTTTCTTGCTATACCATGCAAGTCCAATAGTTTCACTGGAACCACTGATATAAAGAAGTCTTTAGCCAAAAAACTCAGTGACATAACAAAGAAGAGGTTTTGTAATTTTTTTTTTTTTTTTAATGTTGGATAGGAATCATTTGGGAAAGCAGTATTTGCAGCAGAGGAAAAAAAGTTTTCAGCTATGCAATAATATTGTGTAGTGATTATCAATCTATTGTCTGACCAGTTTTGTTTAAGTTTTGGGTTGTTTCTTTTGATTAATGACAGCGTAACAATTCTGACAGCGGTTTGGATAAAAACATTTGGCAATGATTTTTCACACTAGACTAGGATTTGAGAAGATGAACTAGCAGGATGATCTGAGAACAATAAGCTAGTTTGCAATACCCAGGAATACCTAATTTATTTTTTCTAATGAAGTGGCGAATATTTCTATAATATTTTAAAAGTTGGGGAGAAAAGAAACAATTCAGATTTAGGGCCAAATTTAGTATGTTACTACAAAATGACTACAGAGATATCCGTGTTGCTGTGGGGGTAGCATGAGAACAGAGGATACATCCACAGAGTACATTTTTCAGAGCCTGCTCTGAATCTCAGTAAGGTAGATAGGAAATAGTTCAGTAATCTACAGCCAGTTTTTCTCAGCACTTTGTGACATGAGTGGAAAACTTAAATATATCTGAAAAAATCTTTTCTGACTCTGAATGGACTGAAGCTTTCCTTGGTCAACATCAATTCATTTCACAAAGCTTACCCTGGTAAGCTTTTGAATGATGACTTTGTGAGAAAGCAGTAATTGTATCACAAATTGTGACAAATAGGGGACATGAAACAGGGTCTTACTCTTTGTGTAGGCTACTCTCAGCCTGAGCCACAGTGAAGTAGGAAGAACAGCTTCCATGGTAGGACTGATCTCACCAAAAGTAGATCTTTCCATCTTAGCTAGTCAGCTTAGGCTTCTCTTACAGTCAACAGGCAGAGTTGACTTCTAGAGGAAGATTTGTCTCCTCCTGCAGTTGATGCTTGTGTTAGTTCAGATGGATTAGTGCCTTAAACTGGTGTCTGCTTCTTTCCACTGGCCTTAGAAAGAGCTAAGTGGGACCAGCCCAGAAGCAGATGTCCAAATGCCTGTTTGGGTATTTTTGTGGAGGGACATAGTGGGTGAGGCTTTTGCTCTGGCACTAAATACTGGCCAGCATGACGGAGCTGATGAGGAGATGGGGTAAGAAATCTGCACCTGAACATGGGTAAGAAATCTGCACCTGAACATGGTTGATGGAGATTGCTTCCTTCTGGAGTAGCAGTGGATGGGGACTCTTGGAATGAACTGGGACTTGGAGTTATGGTTTTCTGGTCCTGGGGTCATCAAAGCCTAGACTCTAACCCTTTGTTGCTGCAGCTTTCAATTTTTCTGGTCCTAGACTATGTCCACTTAAGAAAACCCTGCACCTCAGTCGAAGAGAGAGCTCTTTTTAGGCAACTAGGATCAGAACTTTCATATAATACAATTCCTAATGTACATGATAGGATAAATAGAGAAGTATAACTATTTATTGAAACTATAGTTAAATAAAGTGCAGAAAGAAAGAGAAATTAAAATACACCCAAACGTGTATCTTGTAATGATCAAAGCCCAAATGGAAAAGAGCAGGTCTGACAAACTCTTCTGTAGTCAAATAGCTGTGCAGAGATCTGCATAATACCAAGAGTACATTCTGATGTCCTTGTGCTATATTGAGATAGATCAATATGTGTCAGTTAGTGACTGAGCCCTTGGTAAGAAGGGTGTATAGATATATGTATCTATATATATGATAGATAGTTTCCCTTTTGAAGAAATCAGATTAACATCTGGTGCAAAGAAATTGACCTATATTTCTGTATCATATCAACAGTAGTCTAAAAATACTCCAAAAAGTGAAAAAAAAAAAAGGCATATTTAAGTTTCTATTAATTGTGGGGTTTTTTCTTTTTTTTTCTTTTTTTTTTTCACTTACTTTATAATCCATTCACAGATTATCTGTGAAACTTTAATCTTAGAAGTCTTCAAGCTTTGGGAGTTTTTTTCCGTTGTGATGTCAGAACTGATCGGATCTGATTGTTACAAAGATCCCACTAAGGAGTTTAACACTAATTGTTAGAAGATGTCCGTGCTTAAAAAAATTAGGCCAATGATTGTAACCATGCTGTTAATTTCATGTATTCTTCAGAGCATGTTTCAATAGTGGGAATCAGGTGTACTTTTGTGATTAAAAATGCATTGAGGAGCTGTAGTTTTTCTCTGTCTTGCAGAATCTTCTGAGCTGTAAGTGAAACCACTAAGAGCGGGAAGGGTTAATTGCATGGGAAGCCTCATATTCAAATACTTCTCGTATACAAAATATATGTCATGCTAGAAAATATTCTATTGTCAATCCAAATAGAACACAAACTAAAATGAGATAATTGGGAAGGTGCCCATAAAGTCAGCCTGAATATATTATCACAAGTATATGTGAGATAATATTTGTTTTAAAAAGATTCTATGGCACTGTAAACTCAGTCTCATTAGAGACTGCATTTAAAAGGCTTATAAAGTTACTCATTAATGTTATCTTGTTGTATCTCCACAGCTTTTTCATTAAAGAAAATTCAGCAGAAAGCATTTTCTCCTGATAGCAGGAACCAATTTGCAATAAATGTTCTGGAAACCACTAGGGAAGCCATTACTGAGGTCTAATAAAAACAGACAAGCGTAACTTGTTCTATATTTTTGTTTCAATCACATACAGATGAGACCCCGCTCTCCACACCAACCGCAAGAGACAGCCTTGACAAACTTTCTCTAACTGGGCATGGGCAACCACTACCTCCGGGTTTTCCATCTCCTTTTCTATTCCCTGATGGATTGTCCTCCATAGAGACCCTTCTGACTAACATCCAGGTAGGCCTTTCTGTAGATCAGCCTAAAGGGATGGAGAGGAGCCAGTTGCAGATTTGTCTAAATTAATACAACCATTCTAGCTTAATCAGTTCATAAGATTATTTGGATCAACTAATTTACTGAAACTTTCTAGTAATTTAGCCTTTAAAGGTACCACAGCAAACAAATGAATTTAGAAGCTGTCAGATACAGTACCTAAAAATACAGATTGTATATTAAACCACAGCAGAGAAGTCGATGAAAATTATGTTGGTGTGTTTAACAACATTTGTCTTAAATGCTCTTTTTATTACAGGCTGATGAAATGTATCTTACTGTTTAACTTTATCTCATTTACTGAGCAGAGAAACATTTCTTTAATAAATAGTTATTTTAAATTGCTGGAGTGCCAAGGTGGAAATTATATTTAAAGCTATTTGAAATGTGTCTCCCATAAAAGCATTCACAAAAAGCACTTCTTTTATAAATAAGCTCATTTCACTTAAAGTACTGTCTTCAAAGAATAGACTTCAAAGGGTATTACCAAATTTTCTGCAGATTTCCTATTCGGTAGTCACGATGTCTATTGTGTGTACAGTATAGCCTGATTCAAATATTATTTAAGTTATACACTAGCATGTAGCTTGAGGCCAAGATGTTAGTGTTTCATATTAGAATGAAGAATTTTTTTGTCCACAAATTCAGTGATCATGTGTTCCCCAGATGCAATTTTTGCAACAATATGGTTGTATGTTGCATGCAGAAGCAAAATGATAGTGCAGGAAATAATGCAGCCATATTGTACTCATTCCAGATAAGCCTCGCCTGCGCAGCTACTAACTTCTAATGTATTTGTCACAATATTTTCCCCTGCTCATTCGTGCAAATACATAAAATCAATTGTATTCTATTCAGCAAAGGCTATGACAGAGTAAGGCCAAATCCTGCTCACTTTACTTTCTTAAGCAGTCTCATTAAAGTTTATGGCACTTCAGACTTGTTTTATGAAAAGTTATGATGCATTCATTAGTGATGTTTTGAGATCTAATAATGAAAAATACTGCTATTTAAGAATTAAGTATTGCTGTATCTGCCTGGTCTGAAAGAGCATATTTGTGATTGCTTTTTGTGGTTCTGAGACTTAGGATCTTAAATATTTAAATCATAAACCAAGGTAATTCTGCAACAGTTAGCATTCTTCTAACAGATCTGCGGCAATCTGTAAAGAATGTATTTTTTTCTAAAGGAAGAAATACGGTTAGCAAAATATGTGATGTTTTAGCTGTGCATGCATGTACAGGAAAGTTCTTAGTAATTTTTTTGACAAATGCGTGCACTCAATGTCTCTAGACAGCAACCTAATGAGCAAAGCATTCAGCATCAACAGGTTAGCTAATCTTGTGATTGAATATGAGAGTGCTGCACTACTTCAGGATAAATGACCAGGATTAATTTGCCAAGAATGCGTTCAGTTTTGTTTTACAGAAAATGTGAACGTGAAATTCAGTCATTGCTTTTTTTTTTTTTAAAACCCAACCCTAATCTTATCTGGAGTGAAGAGCTAAAATAAAAGACAATGTTGTAAAGAAACCAGAGACTTCTTAATGCCTTCTCTCATTGTGCTTTCGTACTTATTGTTCCTTACCTTGAGATTCCACATCTCGACAAATCATCTATCAGGGTAAACAGGTGGGACATAAGTCCTTTTGGATTTTTTCAGTATGTCCCCATGTTGCATTACATGGTTTCCACAGATCTTTGGGAATCCTTTCATATAACATCAAGTCATTTTTTTCCCCCCATAGATTTAATCTCTATCAGGATGACATTAGAAAATAATAAAAAAAAAAACACAAAAAACCCCAGCTAGTTTCATTTTCCCACCTGTGTAGAAAAAATTAAGTATTCTTTTTAAAACAGTAGAGTTTATTACAATAACCTATGCACAATAGTGGCAGTTTCTCTAATCAATGCCATTTAAAATGGTTTCCATATTTAATGATTATTGCTATGGGAGGGGGCTACCCCAGGCCCACAAATGAGTTCGATACTGTGATACTGACACTTTCAGAACTGAGTTTTAGGTATTTGACTCCAAGTTTGAACTCGTTAATGGGGTTTATGGAAAGAGGAAATTCTGTACTATGGTCCCTGCTTGCAATATCATTTCTGACTTTGTTAGGAAATGCATAAGCACTACCTGAAACCTGTGACGCGTTTAGTACATGGGTCAGAAGGACTCGTCACGGGGTATATTCCTCTTTGCTCTCCTTTGGTCCAGATGAATTTTGCATCCCTTTCAGTACAGAGATGTGGATTCAAAGGGGAGGTGGAGCAGTAAGATCCCTTGCCATCTTTTTGTTCCAGCTATGCTAGCATTAAGGATAGGGGTTACCAGCAATGGAGCAGATCTAACTTTGCAGAAAAAATCATCTGGCCTATAGTCCGTTCCCTGCCTCCAGTACTAAGGTGCTTTTGGAGCAGAAAATAGCAGAACTCTAGCCAAAGGCTAGATGAGTGTTTTTGGTAAACGCTGTTCTTTTTTTCCCAGGGACATGCATGATGAAAATATGGTTGTGTCCTTTCACAGAAAGGGTATATGTCTGCTTGTGAAATGCAAATGTACATCTTTGTTAGGTCATGAGACTGGGGTGCATGCATGACCTGCCACATGGGGTGACGGAGGGTGGTACATTTTAGGGATATGAGGGTTACATGAATACATAGGCAAGCAGCCTCTGGCTACACCAATGTGCATGAACGTGATCGTATATTCCTGTGCTGTGATCCTGTTGTATATATTCAGTTGCGTGAAGTGCAGGATCTGAACAATCTGTGTAATATAAACCTTGGATGCCTCCAGAAGTTGTAGCGTCTGTCCTGGTTTAAAATAGAACAGGATTAGGGTACTGTATGGGCACTAGGAGCTCTAATTTTGACCTTTGTCAGGGTAAGGAGGATCCTAAACCTTGCCATGGGGACAGTGCTTTTGGGTATGTGAGCAAAAATTTCTAAACACTTTTGATATTTGAAAACAAAAGTCTTGCAGGTGTTGAAGAGCTTAGGTGATTGAACTTAGTGCCTAACTCTACTTACTTCCATTTCAGAAGTCTGAGTCATCCTTTCAAATTGGCCACTAAACACAAGCAAGTCTGTGTCTTCCATCCATACTAAAGTTAAATGGATAGCCCCTAATCACTAGTTTGTAACTTTAGGCAAATGTTAGACAAGCCTATTTGCTATCATTGTCACCAGGGGCTGCCAGTTAGGTTTATTTCCTTTTTGTGTATCATATATATGTTTTTCTTACTTTTCCATAAATATTTATTGAAACAAAAATACAATGTTTAATTATTTGTACATTTAAAGAGGAGATAATAACAATATACAGTACCTCGAACAACCAATGTTTATTTCTTGCTGGGGACTGCTGAAATGCAAATAATAAACTGTAACAAGATATAATTAAACAAATACACACATAAAATAAAGAAAGAAATGAGATCGGGGACATATTTTCTTATTCAGATGTATATCTGCACATCTAGAAAGAAAAGAACATAAATTTCCCCAGAAAGCTTAAATTAAGTGATATGTCTGTTCCTTCGCAATGTATATTTGTTGATTTCTTCCAGATTAAATGCTGGAAGTCTATGTGCAGCTGCAGGGGGGATGAAGGGTGATGGAAGGTGGGTCACAGCAAAATGCTGTGTGGGTGCTAGTGAGGAGGTTAAAGATGTTTCCATACCCCTCGCATCAGTTCACCTTTTTGAGTCATGGCCCGATTATGCCAAAGTATGTTACAGCCACAGCCTTTCATGATACTGCAATATTCTTGGGTAATAGTAATCTTCTTTTAAGCTTTTAGAGTCTGAATCTTTACTGTCCTCGAGCTGAATTTCCATTAATATCTAAGGGATGAATTAGTTGCACCCTGATAGCTATATTTTTCTATCAAGTCTTGTTGCTAAGTATTTTTAAAGAGATATGTAAAATAAGTTGCAAGTATCCCATTGATATTAATAAAAGAAATGCATGATTACAAACTAAATTCCCCTATGAAAACAAAGCAAACTACTGGCTTTATTGCTGTGAGTCTCCTGCACTGATACCATCTACGACTAAATACACAAGAGAAAAATATTGCAAATACTGGATAAAGTAAAAATCACAGTTTTACTTCATGTTATTTTATTTGTCTTCTGCTAAAATTCAAGAGAATGTTTTTATTTTTCACAGAAAGTATTAATGGAAAAATGTCATTTATACTTATGCAATATGCCTTTACCTGTGGTGGAGATATTCAATATGAGATATTACAAAAATGTCTTTCTGGAGTCATCTGTAGAGATAGTCAAGCTGTGTTATCTTACCTTGCTTATGTTGCTAAGTCAGTAGTCAGTTACAAATAGCAAATATTCAAAAATTAATCTGTGAAGTTAACTAAAAATGTATATACTGATTTTTTTTGCAAGCCTTTCACTAGATAGTTTTAATGATAAGAGCATACAAATTATATACAATTTCCTGACTAAAAAAGAAGCAATGTTATTTGAAAGTTTTTTCACCATGAATAGCTAATATTGCAAAAGCAATCATAGAATCATAGAATCATAGAATCATAGAATCATA